ATCGAAGCATGTTCGTGCTTCAGACAGTTGTGTCTGTGTCAATATGATAACACGTGCTCATCGAGTAGACGCGTTTTCAGAATGATTTCAGAAATTGAAAAAATATATAAGGTGATCCATTCAACAATATATATACAGGGTGTTTCCGTCATAATATCATTAATTTTGACCACGTACATATTCGGATAGCTTAATAAAGACTATAGTGGTTTGGTCTTCAAGTGAGGAGAAAAACTGTAAGTAGCATGGAAAACTTTATTCTACTGATTTCGCTGGTAACACGAGACACAACCGAGCAGGAACTAAACTTCAAGATTTCTTGTTCGTGCCTCGAAATGTTTCGGTTTTTATCCTTGTCCCCAGGTACCTACTTTTATTACCATATCCTAATTAACACTTATCCGGGTCATTACCTGCTCGGTTTGTGCTTATGTACCCTAATAAACAACAACTAATTTATGTTTACAGCCTACTTATTCTAATCTCATTTGCTAAATAAATTTGGGATAATCTCGGATAATTCAAAGTATAATTTATATGGCTCATAAATTCCCAGTAAGCAAAATATACTTATTGGGGCAGGTACTAAATGTAATTGTAGCATACCGTTACAAGACAGAAAATCGAAAAAAATTTAGCCGTTAAAAAATAAGCAAATTACCCCTTAACTCCCGTTAACTCGGTGCCCCGCGCAAGCCGGAGGAATACAGAGCGATCGGACATTGTAGCGAAACAGCTGATTTCCTAGTCGTCGTCTCGTCCAGTTTTGCAATTGCTTTCAAGAGCAAAGTGCAACGGATTTCAACTTTATTAAGACTTTAAGGACGAATGAGTGAGTTTTTTAGCCGTATTTGTCATTTTAAATAAGTAGGTACCACACAATTCTGAAAAGTAATAAGTCACACAATAAGGTATACGTACTACAAACTGAATAATTACCTACTTGAATATATGTAATACCAAAAACTCCTATTCAATTATAAAACAGTAAAAACGTTAAGAATAGGTGTTAAAGTTAATCACGTATTCGTATTCTACACATTTTTTCTAACATCCCTTAAAATTAATGACATTAAGACTGAAACACCCTGTATAAGTTTGTATTATAACTGAAAAATCGAAAGTGATTGAAAAACATTGTGTCTGAACTTTACGTAAACTATGAAAAGCACCTCTTTACAAAAATAAAATAATTTTACAAACAAGAAAGTTATGGGGCATTATAGAGAACGATTATTAATATTATTATTAATTATTATTTATTAAATGAAACGCATCCCTCTGCATCTCTTAAACTAATCAAGATATTGAGATGTGATTATCGCCATTTAACTTTTCTCGTGACTACTTTTTTCTATATTTTAAATAGAATACTAGTTTGAGAATATTTTTTATTCATATTACTTTAACATTCACATACCTCGTATTTAAAAAAGCCAGTAAGTAACACATCTTCAGATGTATTTTTTATTTTCTTTTCAGTATTTTGATGTAATTATGCTATAATCTACCACTTCACTTATACTTAATACAATGATAATTTAGCAATTTTTTCTGTAGACTAATTTTTCATAAAAATTTTGCTGCTTTTTTTTTTTTTGTTCAGTGGACACCACAAATACTTGCAAAAAGTTTTCAAAAAGCTTCAAGACAGTCAAAAACGGGAACACAGGGAAAAAAGTTTATGGAGATAACAGAGATTAAACGATACAAATTTTTCTGTTTCCCACAGCAAAAATAAATTGCTCGGTTCTCCATTCCCGAAGAATTAGACTTATACAGAAATGGTTAACAAGTATGTAAAAGTGTATAGAATGTTAAGCAGACTAGTTTAGAAAAACATAGTTTAGTCAAAATAAAATTTCATAAATAATATAATTATTTTGAGAAATACGCCCTAAAATCATGGATTAAATACACTAGAATAGAATTGCAATGCTAACAACTAAAACCATAACCTGTAACGTCTCAATCGACTGCTCCGAGAACTATTCATTAAAGCGGGAATTTTGAAATATTTTAGATAGCTGATATATTTAAAATTTAAACTATTTCTTTTCTGCTTATAGTCCTATGTATACAAACCAGAGAACATGATCCAAGGATTTCAAGTTTTTCAAAATTTTGTCTTTTAAATACAAATTGCTTTGCATGTTGAATGAGTTTGCTGTGCAAATTTTTGGTTAGGACAAGGTTTTTTTTAATTCTTACCTAATACAAATAAAAATCATTTTTTATCTTTCTTTTAACATTATAGTAATAAAGTATCATACAAATATAATTTCAATTCGGTTTATACAGTTTATCAGTTGGTCTCAAATACAAAACGATTGTTCCGAATTTGATCGTGATATGTTGTCAATCCGTTATTTTTTTGTGTAACATATATTCTCGAGTAAGTTTACATACGAAACGCTCTATTATTTTGATCGGTAGTTGGATTTAAGTGTTAGAGGAATATATATCGGGTCGAGCTGCCGGACTACTAATGCGAACCCATCAAATGTGTATCATTCGGCGCAGAAGAATGCTCTCAACACTTCCTTTACAAGAGAAAACGAACATTAACCGCGCCGCAGGTGACTCGATCTCGTTGGGCCATCAAAGGAACACATGTCCGGTAATTACGGTGGTTTCTTTTGTCACTTCGAACGACCACTTGATAGCTTTTAATGAGTTTTTATTGAGCGTGTGTGTGTAAATAAAAAATCGATCTTATCTCCAGAAAAGTTTAAGTGGACTCAGGCCAGTTAAATGCTGGAGGCTTCCAGTCGGTGGGAATCGTTAAAAATGTTGCGCAATGACGTTACAATGTAAAAATGTAAAAAAATACATCTGTCGAAAAATTTGGCAATTGAATCTTTTGCATAAGAGAAATGACATTTAAAAATGTTATATAAACATAATCTAGTTATTTATTTCATATTTTCATTGGAATTCAATACCTAATATAATATTAAAGTAGGGGAATTAGGAGAACAATGACGTCTGTAATATCGATTTTAGTGACAGGAAGTCAAAATATCTGTAAATCAAAAGATTTTCCTGTAATCTATTTTCCTTAGTAATTTGACAGTTTCAACAGTGACCTATATGTTGTGGGAAGTCACTCAAGTGTAAATTTGAAATATATTGGACTTAATTGCAGTGAAGAACCACTCTGTTGATGAATTAATTGAAATTATTCACGCCTATAAGAATTGATTCTGTATTTGACTAAATAGTCATAGCCTCAAGATTAAGAAACAGTCAAGACACGGCTTTGAAAAAAATGAAAATTTCTGAAAATGATTTTTTCACTATTGACAGCTTACAAAAAATTGTACCTTGAACAAAAAATGTCTAAATTTTTTTTACGAGTTGAATAGTTGAATTTTAATTTATTCAACTATCTGATAACATCGAAACTCTGAGTTTCTTAAAGACAATGCCTTCCAGTAAAGTTCTACTGGCTGAAGGGTTTATATACCAATTCAGTCAATTTTTTTCTCTTAGTTATTAGTTACTCGATTAGTTACATTATTAGTTTAAGATTCATCAATCTAAATCAAATATAGATAATGAATGTTTAAATAAATGTGTCTTACAAAAAAAATAATAGTTGATGTAGGGTACAATTTATAATTTCGTCTCTGGTCATTTCTCATTTTATATTTATATGGTACAGATTGCTACAAAAATATCAGATACTGATAAAAACCAATATTAAAAGTACTGGTAACAATAATTATTATTACAGTAACTGAAATATTTCTAATTTGGCATTGTTTGAACGTAATGTAAATTTAATTTCCTTGATTTGTGTAGATTTTATGAAATGTCAAAATAAAATGTCAAGATGAAAAGATTTTATGTAAGTGGTATCAATAAACAAACTTTTTTACACACAGGGTGTACCGATTTGTAGGATAAAAAAATAGCGTTCCTAAACATATGAACGAAATATTGCAAAAAAATTCTAGGGGAATTTTTTTCAAATTTTATTATCTTATGTTGTTCTACTTGTTAATACATAAATCCTTATTTATTTTGAAATAATTAAAATAATTTAGGGGATCTAAGAAAGCATGCCCCAAAACGTAATTTTTGAAAAACAGTATTTTTTATTTAATATCTGATAAAATGATGTTTTTTGTGGAGCAAAAATATTTGATAGAGTTTTAGACAAATGTTAGGCAAAGACTCTTATATTAGTTAATATCGATAATTTATACAGGGCATTTTTTTGTAATACGATCATTTTTAGAAAGTTCAAATTTGATTTTCAAAAATTTTTCAAATGGGACACCATGTATTTTATTGTTCTATTTTATTCACATATCAGTCCACTTCAACTTTTATGAAGTATGATCTATACCTAAAGTTGTTAATTTTTAAGATATACCTAACAACATTTCTGGAAAAATTAATTTTTAATATTTTTGGCCGCACGAAATGGCTTTGGAAAAAACTGTCTTTGTGTCAACTTGTCAGTTTATAATTTATCATTCCATTTTGAGTTAATTTTATTGGTTAATATTTATTTGTGGTATATATTCTATAAATTAATAAAAGTTTTTTCAGAAATGTTGCTATATCTTAAAAACTAACAATTTCGATAAAAAATCGCTTATATGAATTTTCATAAATTACCACCAAAAGTTTTAAGAAAGTTACAGTTTTCAAATACATATGTGTAGGATTTATAGCGGCATGTTGCAGCGGCAATAATAAATACGAACAATCTCCGACCGTATTTTAGTATTTAGCGTTTTGACGAGATATTGTTTCGAATATGTATGGAAAGGTGATGAATAGGGAATATTAAAATTTTCATACAATGCTGCTTAATTGATAACCAGACTCATGCCGCTTCTCATCGCCAAAAGTTTAAAACTCCCACATTTAAGGTATTTTTAATAAAAAATATTTGGGTCATTCGTTTTTTTCCTTTGTGACATCCTCTACACAACAATAAATGTGTATCAAAAACTACTACCAAAATAGAGTTAATCACTTACCGTACACAGCAAAACTCCTTTCTTGGCACTTCTAAATCTCGTAAAAACATCTTTCCTGGATGCTTGGTCCATCGAGCCGTGTAATTTGAAAAATTCAATATCCAATACCACTTCGTCATCATCGTCACTTTCTTGCACGACATCGTCTAACAAAACTATGTCCCCGCTTTTTAACTTCCCTCTATTTTTTGGCATTTTCACCAAGCATCTCGTAAACAACTCATAATGGTAGTCCACCATTTGACTAGTAGCCATGAAAACGAACACCTTTGACGATTGCTGAGCCTTACTGATCAGTAAAGCTGAAAGTGTAAAAAGCCTATGTTTAACGTGCGTTACAATGAACTTTTGTTTTACTGTGTTTGGTATCACCATATGTTCTGGATTTACCGTAGCGGATTCATCTAGTGCGTCGACATAAATGTGATCCTTCATCGCAAAATCTGCTAATTCAGCAATGCCTTTGGTTAACGTTGCCGAGAGCAAAACTGTCTGGCGGGAATTGCTTGACGGGTCTCGAAGGGGAAAAGTTTCTTCAGATCTTATTGTAACTTCTGATTTGGCACCGCCCGTTTTACCTTTCAATAAAGATATTGGGTCATATTCAGAATTAGTCTTTGCTTTATCCAGTTCTTCTACAATTCTATAAAAAAATATGTACAGGGGTTTTAAACCAAAACAAAATTTTTTTTAAAAAAACAACTATCAAATTAAGTAATTAAAATACATGTAACCTCACCTAATAATGTCTCGCTTAAAACCCATATCCAAAAGTCGATCTGCTTCATCGAGAACTAAGCACCTAATATTATTTGTCTTAAAAGCTGCTGTATGTAGTATATGATCCAACAATCTTCCTGGCGTTGCTATTAAAACATGTATACCTTTCCTAAGTCTTGTTTTTTCCGTGTTTCGATTCTCGCCACCACACAAATGTCCCACAACAATCCATTGAAACGTCTGAAAGGCAAAGAAATGTACAAAGAAACTGATTTCCAACCGCTACACTTACATTTATTTTCCCAAATAGTTCATGAGTTTGTAAAGCTAGTTCCCTAGTGGGCACCACTACAATGGCTTGTACACCGTTATTTCTCTGAATTCGTGGATTTATACTTTGTAGGGCATCTATTATGGGTACAGCGTAGGCTAAAGTTTTTCCCGAACCAGTCTGGGAACGAATCTATAAATAATTATTTTTAAATATAGGTCAAAGGTTAATATTTTCTAACTTTACTCACCAGTACATTTTTACCTGACATAATTTCAGGTATAGACTTTTCCTGTACATTCGTCAGACTAGTATAATGAATTTTTTCGAGATTTGACACTAAATACTTGTGAATCTCTAGGTCACCAAATTTTTTCCCAGTGCTAAATACTTTCTCAACAATAGACTTTCCTTTTATATTAGTGTTTATATAAACGTCTTTGTGTCCAACAGCAAATAAGGAATGCGTTTGACTGCGTTGTGTAGTTTGAACGGTTTGGTTTTGCTTCGGGTTGTTGATGGTGCCTTCTTCAGCATCTGTTTTTGCTGCAGTTTTATCTTTCTTTCGTTTCCTTTTTACTAATTTTGCAGAACCCTCAAAGGTTTTTTCTTGAAATCTTGGGGTAAAAGGTGAAGTCTTCTTAGTGTTTATTAAATTTTTTGAGGATTTAATTTTCTGATGTGCCGTTGCATCTATTGACAAAATGTCTTTAGATTTTAAATTTGCATTTGTATTAGCAGAAGTTTTCGTAATTCGGAACGGTGTAGAATCATTTTTATTAGGGTTATTATTTTTAATACCCGTTAGGAGTGAGGGTTTACTTGTAGTTTTAGTTGCTTCATCTGTTGGCTTGCGTTTTCTGGCAAACACTTTTCCTTTGGGTGTTTTATTGTCACTATTCCACGTGAAATTGAATGTAGACATGGTTTTATTGGGGGGCGTTTTAATATATTTCTGTATGCAGATATTGACACAGGTATCACAACAGATTCTTACAATACACTTTTTGCTGCTTAATATAGTAATATTAGTAATACAGATAAAACACTAAGTGATTTGTTTCATTTTATATTTAAAAACATAACATTTAAATTTCTTAGGTTAGACAAGCACGCACGTTTCCCCACTGACAGATCCACTGAACATTGAATATTGAACTACGGAAGAATGTGCCTACTACAGCAAAAAAGGACAGCACATGTTAGAACTCATATTTCTTTGTCCAACACAAGTAAATTCCCTGAAATAGTCTCCTTTTTACGTTGCAGCTAATTAACCGGTATTGATATTCAAAACTGTAGATAAATTATACTTTCTTGGATAAAATGTGGCTGGATAATTTAGATAATATCAGTGACTATAACAAGAAGTGATTCTTGTTACTGTCACTGATAATATGAAATTTTCTGCATTATAATGTTATGTAAGTAGAGATATAAAATATTTTTAATGGTTTATTCAAAATTTAAATATCTCTACCGACAATTTCTGGATGTTAGAATACATATATTAATTTAATTTACCTCGAAAAATAATTAGTAGCTTTGTCGAAATTAACATAAAATGTTTGTCCTATTTGAATTACATACTACTTATTAATTTAATACAAACGTTATTAAAAATAAAAATGATTCTATGAATATTAAAACTGATTAGTATTGAACAGGAATTATTCAAATAAAGTTTTTATAAAAAAATTGGTTTGTTAGAGAGAAATGGCCAAAAATTAAGTTAGTTCAGGAGCATTCTAATAGTAGGTAGATACAAAATATTTAAATGTTCAATGTTTTCAAAAACACATTTACCGGCGTTTTTAAATGCCTCGTTATGACTCGTGAATCCACGAATTTGGCAGGATACAAACAACAAGGGGCGAATTAGACGACATCAATCATGGACTGAGCGGTGCGGGGACAAAAAGCCGTAACCTATCCCCCAAAAGGGCAGCGACATCGGTCCTAATGGAGGGCTAATGTGTCGCTAATTCCCACAATCCCATTCAACTGAAACACTCGAACACACAACCGATGCCTTTCATGCACTTCTTATGGTCTTAATCAATTGCTCCTGATTGTCCAGGGCAGGACTCGATTCTACCGATGAAATGATAAAATAAAAATTATAGTTTGTTTAAATTTTAAAGTAAAATTCAGTGTAATAATTAATGACGATTGCATTTGTAAATGCCCATCTTATTTAAAATGCATTTTAAAAAGTACAATTTTTTTTAATGCGTATTATCGGCGTTATAGATTTCTCCCATTTTTCAGGGTACCTACATAATCAATATAGAAAAACAGGAATTATAATGAAACTTCATAGATCTAGAAATGTCAGGAAAATATCAATTCTCTCACATTTCAGTTGTAATTGGCCATCATTTACAAGTTGTTGGTTGACTGCCATTAAGAATTATTTGATGCTATTAATATTCTTATTTCAGTTTTTTTTTAAATTTTATTGAATTAATTTTTAATGTACGTCACAATTTCGTTTTGAATATCACTGCATGACAGAGATCTTGGAAACTATTAGATATACAGAAATGTTTAAATTGGCGTAGCAAACTTAATATTTTTAACACATTTAACACAAAAGGAAAACATTTATTTCCTATTCATTTGGATTTCATTCAGAACAAATTGAAAATATCTATTTTTAAAAATCAGTTGTAATTTCGTTATTTGCAGTTCCATTGAAAACATTCTTGAATCTAACCTAACCTTGAGCCTCTTCTTTAAATATCGTGTATTTTGACATCACATTAATAATTATTTCTCTATAAACAAAATCCCACATGGCCACCATACGGAAAAATTAAGTTATTATAACCAACATTTTCGAGAAAAATGTTGGTTATAGTAATTTTTACTTGTCTGAATACTAAATGAGAGCCACCTTAATAATATTGGTCAATTTTTAATTTAGAAGAAAATGGCATTATTTTAATTTGCCAAAATTACTAATGTAATACCTACATTAAAAAAAGATAATTTCTTGGGCAATTTCTAATAGCTCTCATTTATTTTGACCAAATAAAGCAAATTTCGAATTAATCATCCGATTTTTCTTTAAACAAATTACAAAAGTTACTGTTTTTATTCCAATATTTTACTCATACTACTTTGCATCCATCATCAGCAGAACTGACTTACAATTAGGTCGCTATAAGTAGGAAGGAATTGATTTTCGGACCTAAGTACTATATAGACTTTTGGTCAGTAACACAATACCAACAACTTACAATTTCAGCCAATTTCCAAATACAATACACATATAACAACTTATACATTAACACAAATATACAACATTGAAATGGAAAATGCCAGTTTTGTATTTATTCTTTTTAATCGTGGAGCTTTTATTTTTAGCTTGAGTTTTTGCAAACTTTTTCCAAAATCTCCTTATGCAGATTACACCTTTATCTGATATTGAATAAAAAAAAATAGGAAATTTTGATTATTGAAAATTATTACTGGTATCAAGCTTTGTCTTCACAAACTGTCAATTTTTAGGGTCTAGGAGAGTTTATAAATATCAGGGAATTTTTTTGGTCAAAATTTAGTTGCACCCTGACTTTACATAAATGTGATTGCTTAAAACAATCGATACAATTTCTGGAGTCGGTATAGATCACTTAACAATTTATTCACGCTTTTTTTCAAACATCCTGTAAACATACATTTTAGAAGTTTGTAATGGTTAGTAGTCAAATGGTTTTTAGTGAAATATATTTTACAAATTCATAAAATCCTTATGCTTTTAAGACTGCTACATATATGTATGTTCGTATATAAGGAGCTTCTATGATCACATCCGGCTCTGGCATTGGGAATTGGGAGACATTAGCTCGACGTAGGATCAGGCACGTGCGGCCACTCTTGCGGCTTATCGTTTACATTAATGTTAAATTTTGATGCTAAATCGGCTCCGTGAAAAATTCTAGCGGTTATGGGATAATTCTGTAATGCTGATGTATCGACTGTCAAAGGGGATAAAGAAGGTTTTTGGGACGGAATTATGGAAAGCACAACCATAAAAATGCGATCGTGCAGTCATGATTTGAGGTTCATTTAAAAGTCCATGAATTTCATAACCAATCGTTTCAGTTAAACGTATCTTTTGTATATGAAGATATAATATTATTAGAATATTCTACAATAAGCTAACATAACCTGACTACACTTAACATGCAAACTCTGTCCAATAAAGATGGAAATTAAGTCTTTTTGGGAAAAAACTATATTGTCGTCTTTTGTTTTCTAGATACAGAGTGTCAATAATGAATCAAATTCGACCAAAAAAAAATAATATATTGCATTGATGCTTGCTGTCCTACAGTTAAGTTTTTGACGAGGTGTTAGTTTTCAGCTATCTTGTAGATGTCATTAGTTACAATCTTTCCTATAGGAACAATTCAGAATATATATTTTTTGAGATTTTTGTGGTGGGTAGGACACATGCTATAATGTAAAATTTTGTTTTATACAAAAAATATTATGAAAGTTCATTATTTTCGAGAAAAAAGTACTTAACTGTGCTAAAGTCAGCTCTTTTTATCCCTAAATATTGTTTCTTTATAAATTATGCTTTATTAAAGTAGATAGGTTCTATAAACCTTATCGCGAATTAATAAAAAAGTCTTAGTTTTAATTTAGTCCTAACTTAGTCGTAGCTTTTGCCCTAAAAAGTCAAACCTACAGATTCCAATATGCACGTTTATAAAAATAATAACCTAGATTAAGGAAGTATTAAGAACTGACCCTGAAAGTTCTTATCTTATAGCTACTTATACTAAATACTACGATAAATACGTATACGCAAAAGACTGTCTTTGAATGAATAGTTCTTATTATTAGGTTAATCAAATTTTTATAAACAAAGTAAAAATACCTGATTAAGAGTACCTAAGGTTAAGATTAGAGCAATGTTACGGATAAGCTAAGACTAAGGTCTTTTTATAACTCATCATTATTGCCAGAGCTTTTATTCATTAAATGTAAAATTATTGTTACAAAACAGTCTCAAAGGAAGCTCGTATTTTTTCTGCAAATGTAAATATAACATGAAACCTAACCTAAAATGTCGTTTCAATAGGTCGTGGCAAGCAATCTCAACAAGATGGTCGAAAATTGCATGTGTATTGAAGCATTTGGAATAATCGAAAACTGTTAAATTTTAAAGCAATTGTTTAAAAAAAGCCATGTTAATTTGATTAAAAAAATATTTGATAGGCATCTGAACGTAATTAATAATTACTATAAGTGATTGGCTTATATTTTCTAAAACAGTGACTATATTAACTATAATTTTAATAATTCCTATGTCCTGCTATTTTTTCAGTACTAATAAACAAGTTGTAAATATATTGCAGTATTATTACCTTTTAAATAACCCTTCCCTACGGCCATGCCTGCAAATAAAGTTCACCAATAATTAACGTCGGACTCGAAATTTATTTGTGACAATTTGTAGGGGAGAATAAACCCAATAACTTATAAATTCGGCTGAAAAGAGTCGGTAGTAAACTGAAATGGACTCGATCGTGTCTTTGTGAGTTTACATCGAGTTTTGTAACAATTTGGTTGGCACCCAAGCGTTGCGGTAATAAATTAGAATCGAGTCAAACCATTTTCTCGTATTTTCGGTGGATTTATATCCCCGCGTCGACTATAAATCTACGTATTTGAATAATGGACGCCTAAAAATTGGATTTAGTCCAAATGGAAAATACGTACAGTCGAAAAGTTTCAGCGGATTCCATCCACTCACGCATTTTGGGACGATAATCGGGCCTTACAGGACCCTTTCGGATAACGAAATAAGGGAAAAATAAAACGTATAAAATATTTCTTCTGTACGCGTCTATATACTACGGTCAGGGTTTATAAATATGCATGTACGTGGCCATGCCGAGTTCAACAAACCGCGCGGGACCATACCACACTTTGGCAAACATATTACGTCAATAGTATATTAAACACTCGCTATGCTTGCTCGAATTGAAAAACTATATGAGTTTAGTAAAACTACGTTTTTTACGAGATTTGTTGAAGTTTATTATTTTTTCGCATTTTGTGTTAGTAGGTAATTATAAGTAAATAGTGATAGATAGGT